CCTCCATCCAGAGAACAGAAGTTCACCGCTATACTAGTAATAGTGGACAAGCTTACCAAGTTCGCCATCATAATCCCCACTCATACCACTTTAACCCAGGAAGGGTTCGCCAAACTCTTTGTGGAAAGAGTAGTTAACGTTTATGGATTGCCTGAAGTTATAATATCAAACCGAGACAGGCAATGGGCTACTATCTTTTGGAGGTCGGTAGTCTCTAACTATGGGAGTGTCATGGCGTTGTCTTCTGTGCATCACCCCCAAACCGATGGACAAACTGAAGTCCTTAATGCCACTATCAAACAAATGCTTCGCGCTTACGTCTCCACAGACAAGGAGAACTGGTCAAATTGGCTTAGTGTTCTAGCCTATTCCTACAACAGCAGCGTGCATTCGTCGATGAAGTACTCCCCTAACTTCTTACTTATGGGCTACAATCCAAGGACCTCAGTGAGTGCGATAGTGCCGGAAATCAACCCTGCTCACCGCCCCTTCCTGCCTAGTCAAACAGCCGAAGACTTTGTTGAAGCTCTAGAGATACACCATAACTCTGCCAAGGATGCTATCGCTTTAGCCCAAGATAGACAAGCGAAGGCGTATGACAAGAAAAGACGTCTGGTGCAGGAGTTGAATGTCGGAGATTACGCCCTTGTGAATCCACATTCTCTCGAATTGGTAGACGTCGAAGGCACCGGGAAGAAGCTTATCCAAAGGATGATTGGACCCTTTGAAGTTGTCGAAAAAATCAACCCTGTGGTATACCAACTACGACTACCAGATACTTACTCTATGCACCCCGTGTTCAACTTAGAACATCTAAAGAAATATGTACCCTCGCCTGAACAATTTGGCGAACGATCCGAATTACCCTCAACACGTGATCTTCGAGCTTCAGAAGAATACGAGGTCAAAGCGATCCTGGGTCACCGTTTAGTCAGCAAAAGGAAAGCTAACTGCAGAATGTTCCTAGTCCGATGGAAAGGATATGGACCTGTGGACAATTCTTGGGTATCGGAGTACGACTTACGAAATTCCCCCTTGCTCAAGAGAGAATATCTCGATTCCCAAGGCCTATCTATTTGATGCTCCTTGGACGACCCTCCAAATATTACCCTCCGAACCCTAAATTCTGGTTAGGGTCATTAATAATTCTGTACAGTTCGATCAAAAAACTTTGATACTCCGATTTCTCTTTAGTACATAGTGTTTTGAACCTTTCTTCCTCAAGTCCCCACAGAGCTCTCATCAGAAGTGTCCTGCTGCTTTCAAGCGTGATTGCACTTGAGCCGCATATTATGGCTGGGGAGTGGTAGCTACCACTTTTATGATAAAATACAGGCAATTGCCTGCACACCGACATCCACACTGCCTAATGAATTTATGAAATGAGAAGAGTAGGCAAAACTTATGAAATGTATTTCATTTCTTTACCAGTGCTTCTCATGACTATTTCATAACTGTCCTGAGACATATTTCAATACTACTTCATTGCAATTTCATTACTGCCTGGCCTTCCATTTCATTGTCTACCCAGCATTGTTTCATTGCTATTTCATTCTTGCCTGACTTTTAATTTCATTGCCTACCCAGCCTTATTTCATTGCCTTTTCATATCCTTGCCTGGGCTACTTCATATTCATTTCATATCCCTGCCTGGACAATTTCATATCCCTGCCTGGGCAGTCTCATATCCCTGCCTGGGCAATCTCATATCCTTGCCTGAGCAATCTCATATCCCTGCCTGGGCTACTTCATATTCATTTCATTTCTTGCCTTAGGCAATTTCATATCCCTGCCTGGGTGATTTCATATCCCTGCCTGGGTAATTTCATATCCTTGCCTGGGCAATCTCATATCCCTGCCTGGGCTACTTCATATTCATTTCATTTCTTGCCTTAGGCAATTTCATATCCCTTCCTGCATAATTTCATATCCCTGCCTGGGCAATTTCATATCTATTTCATTCCCTACCTTGGGCAATTTCATATCCTTGCCTTTGCAATCTCATATCCCTGCCTGGGCTATTTCATACCTACCCTACTGCATTTATCATTGCCCCCTCAGAATGTCAGGCACTGCCTTCAGGGTCCATTTCAGGGTCCATCCCAAAGAGGAAACATCACCTGGTTTGACCAAAAGTGAAGAAAACCAAGAGGAGAATGTTTTTACCTATCAGGGTCCATATAATGGGATGTTGGGATGATGGTCACATGACCAATTACCAAAAATGGTCAAAATGAAAGTTGTAGCCCTACACTATAGCTTCCCGAATCTGTTTGAATTATGTTCTGAAGTGCTCCCATTGTGAAGATATGAGGTAAAAGATTTTCAAAAGTGTTGCTTCTTTTTTGTGTTTTTTTTTTTGCATTTTTCTCCATGAAAACAAAACCAAACAACATGATTTCAGTATATTTGGAAAGCTATAAAAAAAAAGGGCTACAATTATTGTATCGTGGGAAAAATGACCAAAAAAGGAAGATGCATGCCCTAGAAAAGAAATTGACACTGATAGACTATAATAGTCAGATATAGACTACCATAACTACCAAAAAGTCAGACATAGACTACAAAGTTTACTAATAGCCAGACTTAGACTACAAGGTTTACTGATAGACTACAAAAGTCAGACTTAGACTACAAAGTTTACTGATACACTACAAATAACTACAAATGTCAGACATAGACTACAATGTTTACTGATACACAAAAGACTACAAAAGTCAGACTTAGACTACAAATTTTGCTGATAGACTACAAAAGACCACAAAAGTCGGACTTAGATTACACAGTTTACTGATAGACTACAAAAGACCACAAAAGTCGGACTTAGACTACACAGTTTACTGATAGACTACAAAGTATACTGATAAACTACAAAAGACTACAAAAGTCGGACTTAGACTACAAGGTTTACTGATAGACTACAAAAGACCACAAAAGTCAAAAACTTGTACTTAGACTACAAAGTTAGTAGTGTCTGCTTTTTGAGACTACAAAAGTTTGTAGTGTGCGCTTTTTCATTAGAAAAGTTTGTAGTGTCCGCTTTTTGGGACTACAAAAGTTTGTAGTTGACATGTAGTTTATGGTGTTCTTGGCTCTGTCCAGATTATGGGGGTGAGGTTGAAGGGTTGACATGATCTTACTTACATATTACCAATGCTGCTGCATTAGTTTTTGACATTATGCACAAGTTGTCTTCACATTAGGAAAGGCTATCCTATGCCTTCATAATGGCACCTACTGTCCTATCTCAAAATATAATTATTATAAGTTCATGTGGAGATATGGCTGAAGGAATACCATGACTTTACATATTGCTATTGCCACATCACCACTTTTTGACATCATGGCCAAGTTGGCTTTCACATCAGGACAGGCTATTCTCTGCTTTCACATTGATAGTTACTGCTCTGTCTGCTGTCACATTGATAGCTACTGGCCTGTCCCAAACTTTGATATCAGCTCTTTGAGGGCTATAGAATGATGGGCTGATTCATCCTTGGAGGTGTCCTTAAGTTAGGTCATGTTGTAAGTTGACCATGTATTGAGACAGAACAGTAGATATCAACATGAATGGCCTCCTCTGGCTTGACACCCATCTTGAACATGATGTGAAAAAGTGATGATGTGGCAATAGCAATATGTAAAGTCATGGTATTCCTTCAGCCATATCTCCACATGAACTTATAATAATTATATTTTGAGATAGGACAGTAGGTGCCATTATGAAGGCATAGGATAGCCTTTCCTAATGTGAAGACAACTTGTGCATAATGTCAAAAACTAATGCAGCAGCATTGGTAATATGTAAGTAAGATCATGTCAACCCTTCAACCTCACCCCCATAATCTGGACAGAGCCAAGAACACCATAAACTACATGTCAACTACAAACTTTTGTAGTCCCAAAAAGCGGACACTACAAACTTTTCTAATGAAAAAGCGCACACTACAAACTTTTGTAGTCTAAGTACAAGTTTTTGACTTTTGTGGTCTTTTGTAGTCTATCAGTAAACCTTGTAGTCTAAGTCCGACTTTTGTAGTCTTTTGTAGTTTATCAGTATACTTTGTAGTCTATCAGTAAACTGTGTAGTCTAAGTCCGACTTTTGTGGTCTTTTGTAGTCTATCAGTAAACTGTGTAATCTAAGTCCGACTTTTGTGGTCTTTTGTAGTCTATCAGCAAAATTTGTAGTCTAAGTCTGACTTTTGTAGTCTTTTGTGTATCAGTAAACATTGTAGTCTATGTCTGACATTTGTAGTTATTTGTAGTGTATCAGTAAACTTTGTAGTCTATATCCAACTTTTGTAGTGTATCAGTAAACTTTGTAGTCTAAGTCTGACTTTTGTAGTCTATCAGTAAACCTTGTAGTCTAAGTCTGGCTATTATTAAACTTTGTAGTCTATGTCTGACTTTTTGGTAGTTATGGTAGTCTATATCTGACTATTATAGTCTATCAGTGTCAATTTCTTTTCTAGGGCATGCATCTTCCTTTTTTGGTCATTTTTCCCACAATACAATAATTGTAGCCCTTTTTTTTTTATAGCTTTCCAAATATACTGAAATCATGTTGTTTGGTTTTGTTTTCATGGAGAAAAATGCAAAAAAAAAAAACACAAAAAAGAAGCAACACTTTTGAAAATCTTTTACCTCATATCTTCACAATGGGAGCACTTCAGAACATAATTCAAACCTAACTCCTTCCAGAATCCTTTCTGCCCTGGATCCTGACTGACTAACTTGAACCTCAGACTGGGGCATTTCAAGGAACAACATCGCCATTACGACGGTCACATGGGACCATTTGATCCTACCAGGAACACTCAACTCTGGTTCCCTGGGAAGGAATGGAGGGCCCTTATCCTGTCGCCTGCTGCGGAGACTCCACGTGATTTCCCAGAATACGAACTTGTGACGAATTGCTGGAAGAGCGATCCATCCCCCGCTTTTGATACTGGCTGCATCCACCCTTCCTATGTCGACAAACTCATCCATTTGAATCAAGATGTGGAAAGGAGAATGGAAGCACTTCACAAGGAGTACGTTGATCATCATTTCCTGGAGCCGTCGCACTGAGCATTATGGAGCTCTGCCATACGACCTCTCAACCCTTCCTCAGAGAACCTGAACTCTCTGAAACAAATTAGATGATTCCCGCTAGCTGTAGATTGGGTCACCGAAGCTCAACGAGGTCTGAAAGATAAATGTGCCTTCATCAATTATGTCTCCTGGCTACAAGCTTCCCCCTTTTGGATGCCTGATGCTAACGCCCGTACCCGAATGGCAGACGATCACTATCTGGGTGTCTGGCTAAACGGGATGGAAGAACGCCAAGCGAGGTGGTATTTGAAGGAAGGCATCCCATGCTTCATAGTAAGGGAAATCATGCCCTTGGAGCGCGCTCAACTTGCAGCTCCAGAAACTATGATAGACTTCGCAGCAGGTTCCAGTGCAGCGCCGTTACATTGGGGTGTCAATGACTACAATTCTCTAGCCCTGTCTCGAGGTGACCTATCGTTACGCGACACATCTTCCTTCCATAATCCGGGTTGGGTATGGTCTGAACCCCCTGTTCAGAAGAACAAATCCCCGGCCAAGGAGCCTCCAAGGACTCAGTCCTCTGGATGGGCATGGTCTGGAATTCAAGCATCAAAGGATAAGTCTCCTGTCAAGGAACAGCCGAAGTCTCAGACCATCGACTATGGACCCCCTCCTCCAGAAACCGTAATCATCGCCAAAGACCAGGTTCCCTGGATCAAACCGCCACCAGTCAAGAGAGCCACTCCTAGCCGACCAGGTGCTCCTCCGCATGAACAGAAAAAGTGGATCAAATGGGTAGAAAATCACCAGCCTGAAGGGACCTTCTGCAAAGTGGGCGCCAAGTTTGCTCCCAACCACCGTTCTCATTCCATGTATGACAGAGACAAACATCGACACCTCTTCTTTCTTCACCCGCCTCGAGCGCCAGAAGGATGCGTATCAAATCCGGACGTCTTTGGTATACCCTGTCCAAAAGGAATATATAAGGACATGACCAAGACTCAACATTCACAGCCCTTCTGGATCTACAAAACTCAGGAGCCACAATCATCTGATGTAGGCAAGGTAGCTCCCGTTCCCAGGCCAGAAGATCTCCCACGTTTGAATGAAACCCCACGACCTCCACCTGACAATGACAGTGACAGCGACGACAGCTACTATCCCGACCTGGACTTCTTAAGACAATCAGTTCAAAATAAAGCAACGTCCTCAAAGGTAACCTCTGAGAGCGCAATTCCTACACCCGCTGCTCAGGTTGTCGAAGCTAGAGCTCCACTTCCAGCCCAAATCGTCGAATCACCTCCTGTCACTCCATCTGTCAGAACAGAGCCTGCTGCCTTAGGCACGACCGTAGAACTGAGAGTCAACTTGTCTGAGCCCACTCGAATTCCCCCTCCCTTGCCTGTCCCAGTAACGAATTGTACGCAGAATGAAGATGAGATCTCGTTGGGGGATGAAGATTCTATTCACGAAGCTATGGGTCCGCAGATCCCACCTCTCACCTTCACTGTGGATTCGGAGATCAGGATGGAAGAGGCTCCCGTAACGGACCCTCTCGAGTTCGCTTCCGCATTTCTGATGTTATATGGGCTACCTTCCTCGGAAGGATTCTCGACCACCCAAAGTCTGATAACATCAATCGCTGCTCGTCTTCATCTTACGGTCAGGCAGATTTTCAGAGCCAACTCTGGCCACAATCAGAGCTTTTGGTTCGAAATGGAGTTGGTGGATCAAGCACGTCAAATGAGGACCTACATGCATCACAGAAGAGAAAATGACAGGGAATTACTGGTCACCTACGCAGATTATGAAGACTATGTCGGAGCCCTTGCTCGTTCTTCCCTCTGATGGCCAGACCCCGCGGCGGTTACCGAAGAGCAAAAGCCTTCCTCGATTCCAGAACCCATGACCAGTTCATCCTCCCTGGGTAGGGACATCAAGGAACGTCACAAGTCTCGGGACGTCCAGCGATGATCTCCCTCAGCAGACCGCTATCACATCAACAGAAGATCTTCACCCCTTCTGCGACGACGATCACCTGTGCATCCCAAATATTCTAGAAGACGATATCAGCGGACTCCTTCTCCTCGCTATCATGAATGTGCCCCTTACCGTCGATCTAGGTCCCCAGAACCCTGCCCTCTCTGTCACTCACATAACTCAATCCCGATGGGCCCCTGGGAAAATCAGAATAAACTCGACTCTGCTGCTGTTCCGAATGTGGACTCAAATACAACCATGCAGATCCCTCCATTGCCCGTATTACCCAGTGGACCTGCCTTCGTAGGATTACCGCATAACACCCCGCTGCCCTTTGGCGCAAACGTTGCCTTCATGTGGTCACCATCAGGCAATACCTTCAGCCCTGTCCTTTTACAGGGAAATACGACTGTACTACCCTTCCCTATGCCATCGTTGGAGGCAACCCCTAGTGCTCTGTTACCATGGCCAGTGGCTGCGGCATTGCCTTCAATGACCGTGCCATTGTCTTTCGCCCTTGAATGGCCTACAGAGCCATTAGCTTCCAGAATTTTGACTACAAGACAAATGCCTTCTGGATCCCCACCTCCCACCCCCACACAGCCAACCCTCATGTCTCAGATGACAGAACGTCTATCCGTCAGGTTGAGCAACACAGCATCTTCCGATCTAGCTGCCAGACTCTCGGATCCCACTCAGTGGGTAGCTGCCGAATGAGTGTCGGAGGATTTGCCTATGGGAAGCCCTGTCCCTTGGAATAGTCATATGTCTTGGGGAGGTGCAGTTCAGCCACCAACGGCCCCACTGGTCACTCCGGATGATCTGCATCCTGCGCAGGATTCCATGGACGAGGATCCCGTCGATCTTGATGATGTCGGAGAATCAGACTATAAGAGGACAAAGAGGGGTCGTCAGAGTGGGCAGAAGATCCAGGGGTACAGATAGTGTTTAAAGGTTCAGTCCATAGGACCGCAAAAAACCGGTGGACCGAACTGAACCAGACCATGGTCCGGTCTTTTTTTCGGTTGCAGCTGCCCCAATTTGGGGTTGGTCCGGTTGCTGGTTGCCTCATTTCGAAAATCTTTTAAAACCGTTCAAAGACCGGTTTTAATCGGTTGCAACCGGTTAAACGGTCACGTGCGTTACATAGCCTTGTAACCACGTTTATTGCCTTTTATTGGGATTTTGTTTCATCAAAAACGGTTAAGAATTGAGAAAGATATAACCAAATCCATACTTTACCTGAGTCTCTATGAGATGTAATTCAGTTTCAGTCATAGCTATGTCAAATCTTCATTAAATCTCTTGAAAATTGGTAGAATGATGGGTATTTATGTGCTTTACTATTTTATATAACCCGTTTATTTTTCAGAGTAATAATGGTTGAGATACAAATGGTTTATATTGGTATAATAAATTATACGCAAAAAAACTGGTCTGGATCGGTCTGAACCGGTATCATGGACTGCAAAAGACCGGTCCTAGGTGGTTCGGTTCGGTTCCCTCAATATCTGGGTCGGTCCTGGACCGGTTGCGGTCCACGGTTGCGCGTTTTCGGGGCAAAAAACCGGACTGAACTGAACCTTTAAACACTAGGTACAGAAGGCAGGACGAGGAACGCGAAGAGCGGAAGAGATGCCGGCACCGGCGCTGAAGGAGCTCACCACCACGGACGATGCTCCAATCTCACGGGGGGGCTTTGTGATACTGTAGTGCTACTTACCTATCTTGCGTAAATGATCATGTTGCTTTACCTTCCAGCTTGGGGTTCAATTGGAAGGGAAACTTGAAGTGAGAACTTGTTGTGGGTGCATACCCGCATATTTCCAAGCTATTCTTTATACCCACACGCTTCTAGAGGAGCGGATATGTACACCTGGACAAGCTGTTTGGTGTTCTAGTGTTCTAGCTAGCATACAGTGCTTGCTAAATGTATGATGAGTGGCCAATGAGTGGCTGATGTCCACTGTTAGAAGTCTTTTGTCACCGTCGAATGAGAAACTCAACGGAAATCACTATTGATAAATATATACGTACCTTCTAGAATGACAGAAAGTCTTCAAACACCCGAACTTCAAGGGGGTGAGAACTTTGAAGGAGAAAGTATATAAGTTGAGCTTGAGCCAGCAGTTTCGAAAGCATACCAGCAAGTTTGCATATGGCCAAGTCTCGAAATTGCCACTTATCTGGTCTCCAAGATTGTAAGTAGCACCTTTATTGTTGAAACACTGCGACAGAAAATGACTTTATGCAGATCCAGTCACGCTCACCTGTATAATCGATCCAATTACAAAAAATGTTGTTTTTGCCGAATGTTGCACCAGCCTGCCATGGAGCAATGTGAGGTTAGTACTTGTTGAGAGTGGAGAGTTTCGCTTGCTTAACGGTGTTTGCAGACGAATCATTCAACGAGTCAATGGGAGCTACATATTGTCCTCCATGCCTCAAATCAGACAACGGAGAGGAATGGAGCGACAACTAGCTGAGTGGTTCTGGCACTGAGCAGCAGAATGAGATTGTCACGTCATCAGATCGGGGTAGGAAAGGGCATCACCTTCATCTGAGGGCATGGAGCACATAGGTTTGAGCTACCGTTTACCCACAGAGCGAGTTCTTTGTCATCGATTAGTTGTCCAGAACGTTGAGACGCAAGAGATTTGTCACAGTCCTGTCACCTCTGAATAAAACAATCTCATGGCCCACGGTTTGTCTTTCACAAGACAATGCTTGTCAAGGGGGTGGCGGAACGTGGATCCCGGATATAGGGTTGGGGGAGGGGGCATCTGTCAGAGGCCTTAAATTTTTTTGTGATCTTCTCTAATAAAATCCATTCACATGGTCTGCAACACTACCAGAGCACCCTTGGAGCTTGATTTGGTAAGTTGCACACATATTCGGTCAGTAATTTTCGATACCTTGCGTACGTCCTGATGTGTGTGGCACTTACAGACGTTTCCTGGGCGTGACACCCTGAAAGTGATGGAGTCGACGTCGGGCACATAGGTGGTTGGCATGGCGCCGGGTCAGTCGACAAGTTCAATGAGCGCAGAGAACCACGGAAGGTCGTCGCTGTCATTGGTAAACAACGTTTGGAGATAACGGCTGTCAATAACCGATGGTTCCTTCCAGGAAAAACATAGGAGGGTGGGAAGAACATACCGGATTTGGGGGGGTAAGGGGAGGGGGGGTTGAGCACTAGGGCCTTAATTCTTCTTGCGACTGTATATGTAAATTCCACGTTCCGCCACCCCCTTGATGCTTGTATATACTTGGTATATACACAATATGGGCAAAGTATATGCGTCGACAATTGAACCAGAAAAAGTGAAAACATAAGGCAAACATAAGGTGACTTGAAAAACATAAGTATGTAAAGAGAAAACATAGAGGGTAAGTATGATACTTGAACAAATGTTTCATTGTTCAAGTTGTATATACAAAGCGTATGTTGAACCAGAAAAGTAAAAACATAAGATGACTTGAAAAAATACAAGTAAAGAGAAAACATAGCGGGTAATTATAAGTAGGAATCAGGAAATAACCGGCAAAGAGCATTCGGAAACGTTCCTTGAGTTTCAAGTCCGACTCCGAGGAGATGCCTTTGATCAATTGCAAATATTGAAATCCTGATTCCTGGCTGATACGCAAGGCGCACTGTAGACCTGTCATCGTCGCGTGATGACACAATCGGGTTAACCAAACAATAGACGCACTTTCGGAGACACAACCCACAAAACCGTTGACCACAACCTCCATTCCCGTTATGCATTGACCGTTGCTCCTTCTACCTCCTGTGATATGCTAATACTCCCACTTTATCCTAATCTTTAGAGTGTGCGAGGAACACCGCGGTTGAATCAATCTATCAAGTTTCAACGCTCCAATCACCAATGCCAATCCAGCAGTGCAGCGCAGTTATAGATCAGCCTTCCGAATCTTTCCTCAACCCACAGAGTTGTTCGTTGATAGTACCTCACAAATGGACCCACTTGCATCTCTCCACCCACCGCCTCACATGCCCAATCTTAATCCTACCCTAATCCACACATTCATAGCTCTCCAGCTTTCAGGCCCCTCAATCTTCCTGCTCATCCTCGCTACAGCCCTCCTCTGCAAAACTAGAATAAACCGCCACCCTGTGTGGTACAACTTCTGCGTCTCATGGGTCATCTTCGGGGTGTCATTTTCGCTGCTCACTTTGTGCGGAGAACAGTTCAAGTTTGAGCCAAGGAAAAGGGTGTGCTTCATCCAGGCGGGGTTGGTGTATGCTGCGCCGTTTTTGTGCGTATGCTCGATGTTCCTTTTGTAAGTGTGGTATTGACCTTGTGGGGATGCAGGGCTTCTTGGTGTTCACTTGGACTTGTTGTTCAAGTGCATCAGTAATTGAGCAAATCAGTTTCCACGGGTTTCTCAACCCTGGCAACCTCCGAAAACCACTAAAAACCTCGAAACATTGAAAAGTATCGAAACTTGGCAACCTATGTATCCTTTGGTGGAAACCTGCCGCCCAATAGCGTAAGATATACATGATCACTAGTCCCTGACCGGAGAAACCCTTAGACTATTCCTTTTCGGGTTTCCGGAAACCCCGGCAACTTCCAAAACCAGTAAAAACCCGGAATCTATTTTGCCATGTTACTGATGTGGGTGTTCAAGTTGTTTGTTGCGGCAAGCACGTTTCTACCCAAAGTGACCATGCGATCTTACCTGCTGCTGAGCGTATTATCGGTTCTCTCGAGTTCACCAACCAAGAAGAGGTACCCGAAGATTATAGCCTTTGTAGAAGCTCGTTCCTTTTTGCATCAAGCCGTTTGTTGACGTCTGCCAAGGTCCTCATATTTCCTTGGATCGCTTGGATCGTCGTACTTTGCGTAGTCTTCATGGTGAGCATATTAAACAGTCATTCTTCGGAGAATTCATTATCGTTTCAGTACACCTCGCGACACAGGGAATTGATTCAACTCTCGCCCAACGGGACCTTCTGCGTTTTGAGGCACCACATTGTGTAAGGCTTTTCCAAGGTCATCCAGCCAGTGAATTTACGTATACGACCAAGACCGAAGGTTACGTCCGCGTCAGCAACTATCGTTTCAATCAGTATAATCATCGCAGAAGGAAAGTTATCAATCAATTAATCAAGAATTGAAGCTGGCTGATGGTTGGGCGTATAGTGATCATTGGCATGCGCCTCTACCGATATCGAGCGGTGATTGAAATTTTCAGTCAAGCACTCGGAATGGCCATTAGGGTGCTGATTTTTACGTTGGCTGGTATCGTTTCCATTGCGTGAGTGGTTCTTCGGGCACCAGAGACAGTCGTGCTGAAACTTTCAAGTGTCAGCTTAGTGTTTGTGATAACTCGGAACCGGGGTGTTCAGTTTGATGTGGTGCTCGCTACTCGTAAGTCTATAATTCTTTGATACGTATCTCAATCTTCTCAACTTCCCGTCACCAGTCCCGCTTTCAACTGCCATCATATTCGGGAGCCAGATGGTCAGATATATCTTCGCGAGAAAAGAAATGCTGCATACCTGACTGACCTCGCCCCCCGCTAGGACCTCTTGCGTGGGCTGATATTCTGGAAACCAGCTGTAGGTCCAGGGAGCGCGAGCTCAGGTACCAGCTTTGAGTGGATAACCACGGCGTTCCTGCGAACGATATCAATTCGACGCCAGGTGTCTGGCTCCCGGGGCTCCGTCCCTCTCCCGGCTGAGCTTGAGAGTTCGAGGTCGACGGCAAATCTGACGTTGAGTGGAGACTCGGACGAGGAAGATTTGGAGCTTTGACGGGTCTGTCCAAGGCCGTTTTCAACTTTGAACTTTGGGCGAGTGCGTCGCCTTGTTTACATGTATTTGTATGATGCAAAGATAGCAACAACTTTTGATTCTAGTCCATTTTGAGAAGTGTGCTTGTCCCTGCAGTCGGCGGCGGTTCCCAGACCTTCCCAGACTCGAGTTCCCTTTCTTCATCCCTTCAAAGCTTCAAGTGACCCTTGCGAGGATCAATGATTTAATGAAGCCGATTTCTTGCAGTACCTTTTGGCTTGCCGCTTATGGGCGTTTCTTTGTCTACCGCTCGGTGGTGTATTTAAGAGCTGGGATGGTTGGATATGGGTATCGTTGTGTTTAACTGCTTTTCGAAAACCCCGCCCAACCACACTCACTCACTTACACACTCTCGGACTTGTCCATCGAAATGCAATTCACACTCGTTACATCTTTGCTCATTGCCTGCAGTGAGTCTTCCGGACTACCTGGGTTTCCTGCGCGCCTGCTTATCTTCCTTTTCCAGTGACCGTTCTCGTGGCTTCTTCGCCTATACCGGTGCCCGTCGCAGTTGCGGAGGCCATCGTACGTCCGCTCTCACATACTTTTTTGACTTGTGTATATTGACAAAATATCCTACCACCACAGCCTGATGCGTCGGAAGAAGCTCGAGGCTGCAGCGTATTTGGGTGCTTTTGAGACACGCGTGCTCGTCGTAACCATGGACTCAAAAAAGTCCGTCGACACCAGTCAACCCAAAGACTACTTGTGCGCCTACTACATCCCCTCACGGCGCCCATTCCCCATTCTCGCTCTCAAGCGCTAAAAACCAATATTCTTATTCGACATTCGTGGCCCACCCATATCAAGCCAACAACACACTCCTTCTCTCGCATATCTATGCATAACTTAAGCGCTGCAATTGCGCTCGTCCTGTCTTTTCGAATGCTGCTGTAGCATATATCGCATATGTTTTCGACTCTTTGCCTTTCTACTCGCTTCGCTTTTTGGCCGTTGCGCGCGTGCCACCCGCCCTCTCGTTAGATATATAGATTGCTCTTTCCATCTTTCGCATTCTGTTTCGGACATTGTATTATAGTCTCAATACTCGCGGGTTTCTTGTTGGAATGTAAATATTGAACACAAGGATTGTGAATTTTAACCCTTTGAATCTTGAAGAGCGCTATGTATGTACTATCACTGAACTGTAAGTATTTTGCAAATCGACCAACTCCTTGAGTCATTGCGAGCGCAGCGACATAGGGTGAAAGGCCGGACAAACAAATACATATTGATTGACACACGACATTTGCACGACATCAGAGAATATCGTATATCTCAACAAGTATTTACTCCTTATCCTTAAAATCTTAGATTTAGGTGGGGACTGATAGCGTTTGCAATAATAAAATTGTGACGTGCAGTTGCCACACAACTCGGAATGGCGAAGCACAGAGTGGATGCGTGATTACATAGGATTCCCCTGTCCAGTCACATCGCGTGACCGTCACCTGTAACCAAAATTTCCCTACTTCTTCCCTCCGCCTTGCAACGTCACCACGAAAATGGCAGCAGCAGCGGCCCTAGGCCCGCCCGCCTCCCCCTTCTCCACCCTCCTCCGCTCCTCCCGCTTCGCCTCCTACGACCCGTACATCCGACAAACATACTCATCCCCCCTACCAGCCTACTCCTCCCGAGGAAACTGGGGTCTCAAACGGCCCATCTCCCTGCGTCGTCGGAATGCGTTTATAACGCTGAAGAACTACGAAGAGCATGCGCAGTTTGTTGAGTGGAGTCATGCGGAGAGTCAGGTTAGGTTTGTGAGGCGGGTTGAGGCGATGAATATTTTGCCGAAGGTTGTTACGGGGACTGCGTGGGCGAAGGGGCTTGGGTGGGGGGAGGAGGGGGTTTGGAGTGTTGATTCGGAGTTTGGGGAGGCGCAGTGGGAGAGCGACCGGGAGAGGGAGGCGAATTTGGAAGGACCGCCAAAAAAAGTCGAGGCAAAGGAAGCAAAGCCGGAACAAGATGTGGACTTTAGAACGCTAGGGCAAAAAGGACCTGGCTCGTACTCGCCCAAACGACTCTACTCGACCAACGTGCAAGAGTTGATCCCGAATATAGAAGCCATGAGTCCTCGGGAGTTTGAAAAGTTTCTGACAAAGCTGAGGGGATCTAGGGAGGAGTTCGGGGAGCATTTGAGGGGAGTTATGAGGAGGCGTAACGGGGGTGAGAATGCGGGGGACGGGGAGAAGAGCATGTTTGAGCTCGCGCTTCAGAATGCTGAAGAGACGGATTATCATATGGCGTTTATTGGGGTACGGACCGCGGGGGAGTATCACCGGACCTTGAAGGACGATTTGAAGGCTGTCAAGGAGGCGCAGTCTTCTACGGACTATTCTACTCGTCTCAAGCACTACCCCATCGACGCCACCACCACTAAGAAGAACGGCGGGGGATGGCACCCCAAAATCAAACCACAACCCCACCGCACGGGCGGGCTCCTCTACTCCCACCCCACACTGCTCGAAACGTATTTTACGACGAAGCCGCAGTCGGGTATCGTCCTCCAGGAGCAATTTGTCGATTCAGGACGGTACAGTCTAAAACTCGGAGAGGTGGACGGCGCGAAAAAGACGTTTATCGCTTCGTTTGGTGGGTTGTTGGCGGACATGGCTGCTAAAGAGTCCGGGAACACGCCTCCCCTCGTGTCCAGCGTTAACTCTCCGAAGGGAGGGACGGTGGGTGAGGTGGAGAGGAGCGTGGCGCAGATGAGGATAAAGGCGTTGGATGTTGAGAAGCCCCCGAATGTGGTTGGGAGGAGGGGACAGGGGCTCAAGGCTGTGGGTCTGAGAGCGAGTGTGATGGTGGATGTGCCGCATGCGGAGAGGGCGCAGGAGAATGCGTTTTGGCCCGGGAGTTGGGAGTATGTGAGGGCTGAAAGGGTGGAGACGAAGCCGATGAGGTTGGCTAATCTTACTTCCCCGAGGACGTATGGGACGGGGAAACCGATGTATCAGGTGAAGCAGCCGACGGAGGAAGAGAAGAAAAAGAAGAACGCGAATATCCTTGGCGTTTTGAGAAAGTCGGTGGAGAAGGCTAACAAAAACGGTAAGGATGAAGCGGGGCCGGAGGATCTTTAACTATTACAGTAGTAAGAGCCTTGTGAGCGACCAGAATATCCATCAACCTCTCCGAGCCTACTCCGAGCCTGCAAGTTGATCCTTGTTGCAACCGTTCACTTCCTTTGCCACCCTTCCTCTCATTTTTTTTTCCATGTAGATACTACTCGGTTCATATCAATAACATTTATTATCGCCCTTTTCGTAGGTACTTTCGAAGGGGAATAGTGACGGGAGGGTGTTGCTCAACGTTGAACACGACGACAAAAGTTCTGGGGTGTGACGGTCCGGCGGGCCGCTCTCTCCGCATGGAGGAAACAAATGTAAATATAGATTGTCCAAATCGCCTCCATTGCCTCGTGTCTTCATCCTGTCCCTCTCCTAGATTATGCTTCTTGAGCCATAAGACTTTCTCTTCACTATCATTTCCTTTCTCCAACGTCATACGTCTCATCTTTCCACAAGCTCAAGTCTTCCTTCCCAGTCAATTCCCAGTCCTTTAGGGGCAAGTTCGAGCGCCAGAAAACAAGCCCAGATGTCTAGCGCACAGCCGCGTTTACTCGCCCTTTCCTATGGTGACATGACGACTGTTTGTCTAGTACGCATATATTCCTCTTATGTGGCTCATATCCAGCTCAAGACCCTTGAAAATAGCTCACTGCTTTCAGTGTTGCTTCGTCTATCCCGCAAAAGTGGGTTATACCCAGAATGTATCATTCTAAAAGACGTTGTACATGAAGACAATTGTGCTGTTGCCCCGGGGCACTTTGGGGAGGTTTGGAAAGGGAAGTTTCGCAATCAACAAGTTTGTCTCAAGGTCGTCAAGATCTATAAGCAATCTGATGTTCATCGCCTTTTGAAAGTGGGCTTCTTCCGTTTCCATGCAACAATGATGGTTTTGACTTCAACTATTTTAGGTTTTTGCTAAGGAAGCAATTTTGTGGAGCCGGCTTTCACATCAAAATTTGCTTCCATTTTATGGCATATATTATCTCACATATGGTCACGGCCGAGTATGTCTGGTCTCTCCATGGATGAATAACGGAAACATAAAGGAGTATCTCCTCGAAAATCCACAGGTGGATCGTGTCCTCCTGGTGCGTTTTTGTTGTGATGGGGAAAACAAATCGCTCTGATTTGGTGAAGGTGTCCGATGTTGCCGCTGGAGTGTTGTACCTGCATCAAAAAGTAAAAATTGTTCATGGAGATTTAAAGGGGGTGAATCTCCATTTTTCTATGTTCCGGAAAACACTGTTAAATTGATTAACAGGTGAACATTCTTGTAACAGAATCCGGGAAAGCCTGTCTTGCAGACTTCGGTCTTTCTAATCACGTTGATGCTGAAATACTAACGTGGACATCCGAAAGTTCTGCAAATACTGGTCGGACTGTTCGTTGGCAAGCTCCAGAATTATTCAATCCGGAAAACGGGAAATCCAAGTCAACAAAAGAGACTGATGTTTATGCCTTTTCTTGTGTATGTTATGAGGTATGTGTCATATGTCCAGTGCCGGGTTTCTTTGCACATTTAAATTTTATGAAGATCTTTACCTGTCAGGTTCCGTTTCATGAGATACCCCGGGACTTTACCGTCATGATGAAAGTCATGGAGGGTAAACGTCCTTCTCGCCCGGCGAAGAATAGCGTGCCTTTCGTTGAATGGGGGCTCACAGACTCTATGTGGAGGTTGATGGAGCAGTGCTGGGATCGAGATCCGAAGAATCGTCCTACGATGAGCAGCATTTCCAGGAAGGGCTTTCTTTCTTCGCTTGTTGACAATAGACCCCCGGGAAAGGGGGAAGCTCTTTCGCCACCACAATTCCGCGGAGCCATGCATGGATTTTTATAAGTGTTTACTGTTGCCCCAATCATATAATATTACATGTGTTCTCGTGAATTCAACGCACCTGAGTATCACAAGTCCGAGATTATTTGTTGTAAGCGCCTTGGGTGATGTTCAATTCGCATCATACTTACTTCTGTCGTTGGACAGCCAGATGGCCAACGTCATTGCCCACTTGAATGGCGACGGTGCTTTGGCCTTTACCTACTGAACGTTCGTTCGATGGAAAAAACGCGAGCAGGACGTGCGAAATCGGTTGACCGTGCGGATACGATGAAGATGTGCTCTCTGAAGCAATTAGAGGCGGAAGACATGATAATCAACGCCGGAAACGTTGTGTCAATGTTCGCTGAAGAGGTTGAAAACATGCACGTGACCTAAGTTCAAAAACAGAATTTCATTCAACGATTGAATAGACATACAAACTCCACTGGTTCATGGGGAGTAGGGAAAGAATAGAAACCAGAAATGCAGCGGTAGTGGTACCGGCGCAACAGCAGCGGACGTGAATGGATATGGGGGCGAAGTGAGTGTTCAAGACGAACATGCATCTCCTCCCACATCGCCTGACTCGCACTTATACCCACAAACATCTCCTCGTCCACCGTTGGTGCCCAGGGAGAGTCATCTCTCGACTTCACAGCCTACCAAAAAAGAAAAAGGCATCGTGTCAGAATCGACAGAGGACATGGAGAAGAAAAGAGAAGACGAAACCTTGCTCAAAAGTCCTCCCTCCTCTCAGTCTCCTGCTTAAGATACCCAAGCAACACCGTCTGATGTTGAACATCCAATAACGCCTCATCAACTTGTTCCTTCGTGAACTGCGGTGGCGGGTCCGAGCACGTCACGGTCCCGACTGTGGAGACTTGGGCACTGATGTCGTTTGATTCGATCTACCAAAGGGTTACATAGGTAGATGAAAGAATGAAGGATGAAAGGAGTGAACGCACCATGCTGAAGTTCCCCGACCTCGTCCTCTGAACCGATCTTGATTGCTTTGCCAATGTCCGCGAGGTGAAGGGTGAGTAGGTGGCTGTCAGCTTCTTCAACACCCAGCGAGGCGCACGGGCGACGGCTTGGCTGATTTTTTCTCCTGTCACGAAATGGGCTAAACGAGGTAGAGAGGGATATCAAGGACTTACAGTAGAGAATATCTGCATCTCTTTATCTTATATCTCATGAAGCAATTCGGTGCTTTGTGGGTAGGCGCTGATGAAGGCGTGATACGAGGTGCTCTTGAACAAACGGATGAGCAGGGGGTCGGTGTATCTCGGAAGAGGTGATGTCTGTTCGATATCCGCGTAGGTAAGACAGCGAAAGCAGGGGAGAGGGGAACGAACCTTGCCCCTGGATATCAGCTGAACCAGCTTCAACGTCTTCAAAGCCCCATCTGCAACGCCGAGGGATCTCAAAGTACTCTTCGGCTTCAGGCCAGCGTTTCAGTGCAGCGAGCGCGATACCGCCAGCATAGTGATATGTGAGGTCGACGTTGTAGTGCAGATCTGAAATGTTGATGTCGACGTTGAAGATGGGGTTTTCGTTTCGAGTACTGGCAGGGCTTCGATGCACTCCGTGAGTGTGATAACGTGAAAGGGAGGACGGCGACGTACGGTCAAGAATATGGGGTGGATGGTGGTCAGGAATCATGGATCGGAAGGATAGCGAGAGACAAGCTTGTAAGATGGATGGATGGTCAGCTTTAGCTGTGAGAGGTCGTTCGTGACAATCAGAAAAGAGACAGCCTGCGCCATTCGACTGGCCAGCCATGCTTCTTATACCCTTGGCGAGGATGGTTACTATAGTATGATGAGAAGCTGTTCAATGAGCATTATGGCTATAGACACGTACCGCAATCTGGCGCCACACGAGCTTGTTCTGGGCTGAAGTTCCTGCACAAGTCGACGATCACCGGCCACGGTGGCTGCGGCACCCCTTGGAGAGTCATATGTGCCGTCCTACCTGATAATCAGATATACTGTTCGAACCTTTGAGGAATGGGACTCACAGGATGTCAGGATGCGACGAGCTCCAAAGTGGTCGCCGTCACAGCTAACACCGAAGGCGGATCTTGATCACCAGGTAACACGCTGGCTAGGTGTGATCGCGGTTATTTTTTGGCAGGATATTGCCTAGAGTAAGATTGAGGGCCGAAATGCTATTGGCCGCCGTGATGCACAACCTGATCGATGCTGGTAAGGTTTCCTGGCGCCATTGTTCCTTCGCCTGTGTCGAATTTTGATAAAAAAGAGTCATAAGCATCGCAGCTAAGAGTATCAAAACACTATTCGCAGTCAGTTACGACCTTCAACTAGCTCGCTCGTTCCAGACACCCACACCCACGCGCTCTGTTGATTATAGTCGTGTGACTCACTGTTATAGTTCAGCCAACTACCGATCGATCTGTAGTGATCTGCCTCGGCGCTCAGTTGCGCGTAGGCGAAAGCGATATCGGACCAGCGTTCGACGATGTAGGACGATGTCGAGGAACACGAGAGCTTCGTGGAGGTTTCGCGAATCGTAATATTCAAATTGACGTAACAAATCACGAGGGTCACGTTGTGTCACAAGAATCTCAAGAAAGAAATTTCAGATTGCCACAGGCTCGTCCTACAAGAGAAATACGTTGATTAAGGACGGTTTCGTTTGAAGATTGAGGGAGAGGACGGTGCGGAAAAGGCGTTTATGGCTTCGTTTGGTGGGTTGTTGACGGAGATGAGTGCGCAAACACGCCTCCTCTCGTTTCAACGCAAGTTCAACGTCAACTCTCATGCGGAGGCCTCTCTCACACTACAACGGATGGCAGCGGATACGAAACTTGCAAGTAAGTCAATAATCCTAAACTTTGCACCTGACGCATACTTATCTTGCTTGACGAACGTTTGAGGTTGAGGGCAGTACGACCGCGATCAGTTTCCGAGTGCCCGAACAGCCGTTACTGGGGCACAAACGAATGTGGGCCTAATATGCCTATTGGGGCAGCACTACCCACTTTATGATCGACGGAGGGCGTTGGGTGCAACGTAGGCGCTGAAAACCACACCCCATTTGTAGCCAACGTTAGGATCAGCTAACATGTTATCAGAGTTTCATCAAGCTATAAAACGACGATCTGGGTTGCTGGGAACCCCTGCACTGGCATTCGCAGACCAAAGGGCGAAATGAGTTCCCTATCTCCTCTCTCCGATGCTCCCCTTCAGCATATTGTCAAATTGAAGGATGATATTGACATGGATGCCCATATTGTGACTTTCAACAACGCAAGGGGTAACGGTCATATCGTCCATCGCAAGTGGGACCCTAGGTTCTTGAATGCATACCTGGGTGAGTTTCAATGTTCCAGCACATACAGAGTCTGTGTACCTGACTATATTACTCAATATTTCGGCAGGTACCTTCAGTGAAGCAGTGCTTGAAGAAATCAAAGGCCATCCGAATGCCGAGTTCGTAACGGAGGATAGCGAACAAAGCGACGAATTTGAAGTGACAACTCAGTTAGTCATGGTCCCTCCGATCCCCACAATCTCCCATCGTTAATCGAGTTGATACAGGAATGACGCAGGATGGGGAGTGTCTCGTATTAATCATGTGAAGTCCCTGAAGGGGAAATCGGACCAATTGACGAACTACGATTATGAGTATGACTCGACCAGTGAAGTCGGATCCGGCGTGGATATCTATATTCTTGGTTCGTTGTGTTCCACTCGTCGTTGTGATGATTTTCACCCTAAGTAAACTTATCTGCAGATTCGGGCATGTATTCTCTGACCTTCTCAGTCCTTATTTTTATAATTCTGATTGTGTTCCCTGATCAGGAATATGCACTGAACATGTAAGTGACTTACCGTTAAGCGACCTCGATAGCTGATATGCAATTTGTGATAGGTGGATTTCGGTGGACGCGCTACGTGGGGGATTACAATCAGTGTGTCAAATATATTTTGCCAAATCGCCAAGCACTGAATTTACATTTCATTATTTTGCGGGTCCAGATGGGACGGACGTGAGCGTGCCTCTTGCATAGGAGAGCTATTGCCATTGATTTTCTCTTCAGGGCGTTGACGTTAAGGGTCATGGTACGCACGTCGCGTCAGTGAATTTTATAACTCGCTCCAGTATCCTGCTTACAAAATGTTATCAAAGTGGCATAGCAGGCGGTTCGCGATGGGGAATTGCAAAAGTGATTGAATCTCACATTGGCAAAGAATGATACTCATTGATTATTGTGCTTTGCTCAGGGAGCCAACCTGATTGCGGTGAAGGTCTTGGATGACGAAGGGTGACCATCTCCATTTGTTTCTGGGAATGGGAGAGTACTAATTGAAAATCCGACGTTCAAGTCATGGTCGCCAATCCTACAAGTAAGCTTTGATTATCCTTCAAGTGATTGTATGTTTGACCATGCGTCGCCCAGCCTGATAGGACTTGAATACGTCTTCATGCGTCGCCTGTTTGACGGACGGTCGTCAATCATCAATATGAGCTACGGAGGCCAACAAGGCCAAAGCGAGATCATAGATTTTGCATTGATGAGGGTAAGAGTAAATTCACAATAAAATTCTATCGAAATTCTCATCGTCGCAAAAGATCACTTCAGTCGGCATTCATGTCACGGTAGGCGTCTATCCAATCTAATAAAACAATTTTTGAAGGAACATTTATCAGGTGGCAGCTGGCAACAAAAACGTTGATGCGAAGGATACATCTCCCGCCAATTGTCCCTGTGTTAACACAGTTGGGGCGACAGATATCAACGATGACAGATATATTAAAGAACACGACGACGATACGATAACTGGGTCGAATTTCGGTGAGCTGCTTTGCGGCCTCGGAGTTGAGCTTCAGTTGACGGGCTATCTATTATACGCAGGTCCTTGCGTTGACTTCTTCGCCCCTGGGTTTCAGATTACGAGCTGCTCCATTAAAAAGGACAAGGTACTTGTAAAAGCCACTCCTGAATCCATTTTTGAATTTTATCGACATGCTTAAAAAGAACGGAAAATACACAAAATCTACAAAGAAAGACGGCACCTCAATGGTTTTTATTCCTCACTTCCTGTCTGGCGGTATTTAATTATTTCCCAAATTTTATTAGGCGGCGCCGCTTGTCGCTGGAGTAATAGCCGCCATTATTTCGCTGGTGGGAGACATCCCACCTCCAGGAATGACGAACATCCTCAAAGCACTCTGCTTGAGGAACATTTTGGGTCGCATTCGTGAGAAAGTTTTCTGAATTTCTTGCGTATTTTACCCTCATTATGAATATTCCAGCTGACGACGGGACTCCCAATGCTCTCATACGCGGAGCTCTGCATGTCCCAATTGCCTTTTCCTTGACATCAGATTGGGCAAGTATGGCCATTAACAACCGGAATACCACCCTCAGCCGAATCAAAGCCAATAAATACGACGAGAATACATCTACAACATCTAAATCGGTTCAATACGGGATAGAGGGAAGTCGTGTATACCATGACTGTACCATTCCGTGAGTACAACTGCTGCGTTGTCCCGTGAAATCGAATTCAATACCACCGAACTAGCCTCATGTTTGTGAGCGTGGACTTGTCTGTCGACATTTCGCTCTGCCACGGTAGCGATGGTAAAGAGGACGAAGATCAGGCGGGAATGGCAACGGCGACCTTCGCATCCGTGAGCCGACTTCCATTCCTCATAAATGTACTTTACCTACGCTCACGTTATTTCAGGAAGAATATGTGAGTGCAGGGATAAGCGATAACGTGAGGAATGACGACGATTATAATGATTGTCCCCTCGAATCGTCTTGAGATATTGATGCGGGTTCAAATTGTGCAAGAAACTGCCAGGGGGCAAACTTGATGGTCTTTGCGAACTCCGTGTTCAAAATAAATACAAATCTTTGTTAAGAAAAAGCTTGCAACTCTTTCAGTGCCAGTTTTGATTATTCTAGGCGCAACATGCTGTCTAAGCACCAAATTTCACTATATAGTATAGCCTCTTAAGCGTGTTTCCTGACAGATTTCTCTCAAATAGAAAATAAATTTATGTTACAATTATCTATTTATATTCCCCCAAATATATTCAGAGTCCACTGTCGACGAGTTGTGAAGCTAGAAGGTATTTTTCCAAACTAGGTAACACCGCTGGTAGGCACGTTGTAATACTGATAATCCTGGCTGAGTGGTTTCGCGACATTTAGAAAGATATTCATACTGATGTTTTACAGTATGTTAAAGAAAAGATCTGAAAAAAACTGTGTGTACCAACTCTCGAAACATTTATATACATGGTGAAAAAAAATGGGCCAAAAGGATGTTTATTCAAAGTTGCCACCATCATCAGACAGTGACCACTGCAACTACCTGACCAGTGACCACATTGCAATTGGCAAGGATTCTAAGGCCCGGGGTCGCTCTTCTGGAAAATGGAGGCGATTATGTTTAACTTTGGTGTAACTTGTGGCTTTCACCCTTTTTTTCGCTTGCACAAGCTCAAAATAGTAAATTGTGAAACTAACATTCAAGACAGTACGACATCCATCAAATTGGCGGTGTACTGTGACATCGTCTTCATCGCCTCGTGTCCTCATCGTGTCCCTCTTCAAGATTACGCGCCCTTCGCCACAAGACTTCTCAAGTTCACCGTCATGCTCCTCTCTCCAGCGTAGGCACTGTCTCATTTTCTTTTCTCCGACGTACGTCTCATCTTTCATGGTGCTTGCCCTCGACAGGTCCACAAGCGCAAGTCTTCCTGCCCAGTCCTTTTGGGACACGTTCAGACCAAAGAACAAGGACGATATGCGCAACAAGCAAGCTCAGAGGGCTCTCGCACGGCAGCGTTTACTCACCCTTGCCTATGGTGACATGGAGACTGTCCGTATGGTACGCATATATTCCTCTTATGTGGCTCATATCCCGCTCAAGACCCTTGAAAATAGCTCCCTAATAGTTATGCAGTGCGTCTGACGTCTACTGACATACATCTAACAATGACTGAAATTTGTTAGGAACTCGATGCCATCGCCCGAGATTGGATAAAGCCACCGCCAGAGGCAGTTTTCAGTTTACGCGTTCCAGTCGAGTATGCTTCCCTTCATGCTACAGTAAGCTTGCAAAGAGATCTTCATACGATCTCAGTTGCTTACTTGGGTTTGAAGCGATGGGTATCTGGTCCCAACATTTACGTAGGTTCTGGTTCTTATTCAAGCCCGGACGGTTCACTGAATATATATTCATAGCTTACAGGCGAGGACTCGTATCAAATCGCAGTCATGGGTGTACAAGGGCTTCGCGTCGAGATCGTCAGTGGCCCTCCTCCACCTCCAGACTCGGATGAGCCACCGTGAGTGAAGTTGAGATGCAGTGATTTATCAATCTCATCTCCTTTCGAAATATGTAGCCCACCTCCGTAAGCTATTCTTTACATCGCGCCATCCACGTCCCGAGACCATTTTACAGTCCGCCTCCTGAAATGCCCGCTACGTCCAGTCTGGAGTTGACGCCAGGTGAACATGTCGCACTCGACATCATAAACTCTGACGAACTTGACGTCATTGATCCACAAGTACTCATACGTTACATTATAGTTCAATGGTACTCCACATGGTCAATTGTACCTATGTACCATAGAGCTACCCCAATGGGGCCAATGCTATCTACACACTATTGAATAAAGTTGGGCCCAATGCATGCTTTTACCTTAAGGTGAGATGGTGTGGCCCAATTGTGAAATATCCCACAACATTGGGCCCAATTGCTATTTAACACATGATCATATGGTGGACCGACGAAAAAGTAGGCCGAAAGATATATCCGAAGACAGGGGGGGTCACTACTATGGCACCAATTTATCTGCCTTCTCAATCCTTGCTTTGATCCGAAGCTCCTCTTCATTCAGCATGATCATAGTATCCAACTGCCTCAACTGATCCTCTACGTGTGCCATTGCCTCCAAAAGAGCATTTCAAGCTCTCAAACCCACCTCATATTCCCGATGCAATACCCTGTGGGCTATTCGGGCTTATTCCAGTGGGTTGGTAAGTCTTCCCACATCAGGCAACATGACGTCAAAAAATGAGGCCATCTTCGGCTCAAATTCAAATCCGACATGTTAAAACCAAAGATTTTGTCAGCTGGTAGTGCCGAAATCCTTCCGGAAATATTGCGTTGCCTCCCAAAGACTATGTGCACTCAATAGATATTAAGACCGAGGATTTCATCCACTGGTTGTGCCGAAGTACCTGCGGAAATGTGGTGTTGCCTCTCAAAGAATATGTGCACTCAACACATGTTAAAACCGAAGATTTCGTCAGCTCATAGTGCCGAAGTACCTCCAGAAATATTGTGTGGCCTCTCAAAGAATATGTGCACTCAACACATGCTAAAACCGAAGATTTCGTTGGCTTGTAGTGCCGAAATCCCTCTGGAAATATTGTGTTGCCTCCCAAAGACTATGTGCACTCAATAGATATTAACACCGAGGATTTCTTCAGCTGGTAGTGCCGAAGTACCTCCGGAAATATTGTGTTACCACTGAGAATATGTGCATTCAATACAAGTTAAAACCGAAGATTTCGTCGGCTCGTAGTGACGAAATACCTCCGGGAATATTGTGTTGCCTTGCAAAGAATATGTGCACTCAGCACATGTTAAAACGGAGGATTTCGTCAGCTCATAGTGCCGAAGTACCTCCAGAAATATTGTGCGGCCTCTCAAAGAATATGTGCACTCAACACATGTTAAAATCGAAGAGTTCGTCGGCTTGTAGTGCCGAAATCCCTCTGGAAATATTGTGTTGCCTTGCAAAGAATATGTGCACTCAACACATGTTAAAACCGAAGATTTCCTCGGCTCGTAGTGCCGAAGTACCTCCAGAAATATTGGGTTGCCTCTCCGAGAATATGTGCACAACACATGTTAAAACAGAAGATTTCGTTGGCTCGTAGTGCCGAAGTACCTCCGGGAATATTGTGTTGCCTTGCAGAAAATATGTGCATTCATTACATGTTAAAACTGAAGATTTCATTGGCTGGTAGTGCCGAAATACCTCCAGAAATATTGTTTTGCCTCTCAAAGAATATGTGCACTCAACACATGTTAAAACCGAAGATTTCGTCAGCTTGTAGTGCCGAAGTACCTCCAGGAATATAGTGTTGCCTCCCAGAAAATATGTACATTCATTACATGTTACAACCGAAGATTTCATGGGCTGGTAGTGCCGAAATATCTCCGGAAATATTGTGTTGCCTCCCAAAGACTATGTGTAGTCAATAGATATCAAAGCCGAAGATTTTGTCGGCTTGTAGTGCCGAAGTACCTCCGGAAATATTGTGTTGCCTCTTGGAGACTATGTGCACTCAACACATGTCAAAACCGAAAGTTTTGTCGGCTGGTTGTGCCGAAGTCCCTCTGGAAATATTGTGTTGCCTCCCAAAGTCTATGTGCACTCAATGGATATTAAAACTGAAGAGTTCGTCGCCTTGTAGTACCGAAGTATGTCCGGAAATATTGTGTTGCCTCTCCAAGAATATGTGCACTCAACACATGTTAAAACCGAAGATTTCGTCGGCTTGTAGTGCCGAAGTACCTCCGGAAATATTGTGTTGCCTCTTGGAGACTATGTGCACTCAACACATGTCAAAACCGAAAATTTCGTCGCCTGGTTGTGCCGAAATCCTTCTGAAAATATTGTGTTGCCTCCCAAAGACTATGTTCACTCAGCACATGTTAAAACCAAGGATTTCGTCAGCTCATAGTGCCGAAGTACCTCCAGAAATATTGTGCGGCCTCTCAAAGAATATGTGCACTCAACACATGTTAAAACCGAAGATTTCGTCGGCTTGTAGTGCCGAAGTACCTCCGGAAATATTGTGTTGCCTCTTGGAGACTATGTGCACTCAACACATGTCAAGACTGAAAATTTCGTCAGCTGGTTGTGCCGAAATCCCTCTGGAAATATTCTATTGCCTCCCAAAGACTATGTGCACTCAATAGATATTGACACTGAGGATTTTGTCAGCTGGTAGTGCCGAAGTACCTCTGGAAATATTGTGTTGCCTCTCCAAGAATATGTGCACTCAACACATGTTAAAACCGAAGATTTCGTCGGCTCGTAGTGCCGAAGTACCTCCGGGAATATTGTGTTGCCTCCCAGAAAATATGTGCATTCATTACATGTTAAAACCGAAGATTTCATGGGCTGGTAGTGCCGAAATATCTCCGGAAATATTGTGTTGCCTCCCAAAGACTATGTGTAGTCAATAGATATCAAAGCCGAAGATTTTGTCGGCTGGTAGTGCCGAAGTACCTCCAGAAATATTGTGCCGCCTCTCAAAGAATATGTGCACTCAACACATGTTAAAACCGAAGATTTCGTCGGCTTGTAGTGCCGAAGTACCTCAAGGAATACCGTGTTGCCTCCCAGAAAATATGTGCATTCAATTACATATTAAAACCGAAGATTTCATCGGTTGGTTGTGCCGAAATACCTCCGGAAATATGGTGTTGCCTCACAAAGACTATGTGCACTCAATACATGTTAAAATCGAAGGTTTCGGTGGCTGGCAATGCCAAAATACATCTGGGAATATTGTTTTGCTTCTCGGAAAACATGTGCACTTTCAATAAGTCAAAGTAGCTGTGAAACCCGAAGATTTCAGCTTCTGTTAGTGCCGAAATTCTTGTTTGATTTCCTGGAAACATCGTTTGATGTTCCGGGAACATTGTTTAACCCCCCGGGAACATTGTTTGACCTTCCCAGAACCTTGTCTGACCATACGCAACTGTTGTTTCACCTTCTGGGGAATATTCATACCCACCATCATCATTGGTTGATCTTCTGAGCCGCCATGTAGTATAAAAGAAATTGTTGAAAATTCACCGTAGTGAAGGTTATACCTAACCTTTTGAGTTCACACACTGGATACATATCAATGTGGTTGAACAGAAGTAAGTTTACCATCTGCTTGCAACTCCAGAAAAAGACTGGGGGTGAGGGAGACCATTCAATCTCTTTCTTGATCCATCAATGCGTCAGTGAGCAGTTACTCATCTTGTAGTATTATCATGAAATGCTTTCAAATCTCCAAAATTTATCTGTCTTGAAATTCATCTGGCAACACGATATTTCTGGAGGCATTTCGGCATTACCAGCCAACGAAATCTTCGGTTTTAATATCTATTGACTGCACATAGTCTTTGGGAGGCAACACAATATTTCCGGAGGTATTTCGGCACTACCAGCCTATGAAATCTTCGGTTTTAACATGTGTTGAATGCAGATATTTTCTGGGAGGCAACACAATAGTCCCAGAGGTACTTTGGCACTACCAGCCAACGAAATCTTCAGCTTTGATATCTATTGACTACACATAGTCTTTGGGAGGCAACACAATATTTCCGGAGATATTTCGGCACTACCAGCCCATGAAATCTTCGGTTTTAACATGTAATGAATGCACATATTTTCTGGGAGGCAACACAATATTCCCGGAGGTACTTCGGCACTACAAGCCGAGGAAATCTTCGGTTTTAACATGTGTTGAGTGCACATATTCTCAGAGAGCCAACACAATATTTCCGGAGGTACTTCGGCACTACCAGCCGACAAAATCTTCGGCTTTGATATCTATTGACTACACATAGTCTTTGGGAGGCAACACAATATTTCCGGAGATATTTCGGCACTACCAGCCCATGAAATCTTCGGTTTTAACATGTAATGAATGCACATATTTTCTGGGAGGCAACACAATATTCCCGGAGGTACTTCGGCACTACAAGCCGAGGAAATCTTCGGTTTTAACATGTGTTGAGTGCACATATTCTCAGAGAGCCAACACAATATTTCCGGAGGTACTTCGGCACTACCAGCCGACAAAATCTTCGGCTTTGATATCTATTGACTACACATAGTCTTTGGGAGGCAACACAATATTTCCGGAGATATTTCGGCACTACCAGCCCATGAAATCTTCGGTTTTAACATGTAATGAATGCACATATTTTCTGGGAGGCAACACAATATTCCCGGAGGTACTTCGGCACTACAAGCCGAGGAAATCTTCGGTTTTAACATGTGTTGAGTGCACATATTCTCAGAGAGCCAA